CTCTCTCTCTCACACACACACACACACACATACACACACACACACACACACACACACATACCTACACACACGCGTGTGCACAAACACACACGCACACGCACACACACACACACTACACAACACCAAACACATCAGAAACCTCATTATCACATACGTCATGAACTGAAACAGTCGTAACAATTTACCTTGATATGTGTATTGTATTGAATAAATATATTTCATGTGCTACTAATTGCGAATTAAGATCAGTTAAATGGAAGGAATTACATCCAGCTTATGGAGTTATACCCAATATACCACACAAATTAGTTCATAAACTCTTAATGATACTAAGATTAAGATAAGGGTGCAGCACGGTCCTGGTATCTTAAACATTATAACAGTGAGCGCTTTAATAATAGAGATATAGTTTATTATCGTCGTCAACATCAGTCCACAATCGCCCAATCGGTTTCTAGGGGTTTCAAGATAAAGCATGTGTTCGAATTAAGGCACAAGGGGCTTTGTGCAGTATGTGCAGTATATTTTGTTTCTTTTTCGTTATTTCCTTTTTAGTTTTTAACTGGAACAATAATTTTATCAAATGCCCCAGTTGTGGTTATCATTCGGGCGTTCTCTTTTTTCCTTAATAATATTCTTGATCTCAAAATTAAAAACAAAAATGACTGAAGCGTTTATGGACTGACCCTAACGAGATATTTATGTCTACTAAAAAGAAAAAGATAAGACTCAGATTAATGTAGACTTGTGCCATCTTGTCACTCCTAAACAGTCCAGTCCACTTCTCCAATTCATAATTTCTCTCGTTTTCCTTATCGCCAAAAGTCGAGGCATAAGTCGTTCTGCAAGGCCAAGGTCGTTGAGACGAGGCCGAGGTCATTCGATGTCCACAACACTGGCAGCGTGGTGCGAGCAGACACAGGCGATGGGGAGGCTCTCGTGTGTGTACGTGTATCTGGAGAAGCAGGAATATTTCATTTCGTCGCCATCATTCAACATTGTTTCAAGATTGTAGTTAGCTGTTTATAGTAAGCATTTTAAGACGCTCGCAACTGCATAAGGTCATATGAGCGAGTGAAACACAAGTTGGTTGCATTCACAACAGTTCACAGAACGGCTTGGTTTTGGTCAATAATCGGATTAAAGTGTTAAAAATTCAAAGTAGAAATCTCAATCTGAAAATTACAATTTACATAATATTAGAATAATCGCATTTTCAATTTAGTGAAAACACCAATGACCTTTTTTTAAAAAATGGAGACATCTGTTGGGATCAACAACGGAGAACATTAATGTATGTCAAAATTTCGAAAGAAAAAAAAAGGAAAAGAAAAGAATAAGAAAATCAAATTTAAAAAATTAGAAAAGGCACAAAGTATGTAAAAAATTCAACTAGAAAAAAAAAGATACATTGCTTTGTGAATTAGATAGGGCGCATCGAGAGATCCTACTCTAATTAATATTTAAGAATAACAACAGATTTAGATAAATTAAAAATCTTTTAGTAACAAAATGTCATGGCTGAAAATGGTGTTTGGCTTCTCCTTAAAACCTCGTACTTTGACCAACGACAGTGGCAGTGTTAGGACCTCAGAGAAACATCGTCATATGTCTTATGGAAATATTGAGGACAACCATCTTTCTTTCACGAGTTCATATGGACTACTGCTGTTCTTCCAATTGCTATACAACTGTTTTTTTCTGTCTGGTAACACCTCTAATCTTCCGTACTCAAATAATATGACCTATTTGTATTGCAGGTGCCGTAAGACTCTTACTAGAAATTAGCATAGGCTCTGAAATGACTTGTCTGAAGGAACATTATTCATAGATCACAAAAAACTTGGCTGAGTGGCGCCAAAAAGCTCTTCCAACTACAACTGGAGCCACCCACCAGCCTTTGACCAAAAATAGCACCTTCCCCTCGACATCTAACGATATAGGAGGCATGGAAAAGTAAAGTCGTCGCCAACTAAATAAAAGTGATGGATCTGAAAATAGATATCGATGATCACAGTTCTCCATTAATTTCTCCACTTTGATAGTCTTAAAAACCCTTATCATCTTGGATTTCCCCCATCAACCTTGTGTTCAGGTTTTCCAAATAGTTTTTCAGGGTCCACCCTTGCCTCGTTTGCATTCTATTTTTCCAGTGAGAGCAATATGTTCATATCCTTTATGTTGAGTCAAGTGTTCATAAACGTTTTTTGTCGCTCCCTAATTGTTCTCATGAAAGGTAAAGCAACAATAGTTATTCATAAAAGTCAAACAAAAAGAGTTTATGGTTTGTCTCACCTGTATTGCCCTCTGTCGCATTCTCGCCGTATCACCTGGTACGAGTGGTAGAGTGGGTAGCATCTGGACCTTGGACCGACACTCAGCTGACTGGAACACCAACCACACGAGCACCTAGCGTACAGGATGTCATTGGGGTATCTGAAATGTGAGAAACATGGTTAAAGTAAAGTGTAGCCTCCCCCGTAAAAAACTAACCATGTCAAAGCATGGCGTTGTTTGTTGTTCTGAAGAGACATAACTGTGACAAAATCACGACCCCTTGAAGTTGCGCAACATCGCTACCTCAGAATTACAAAGTTTTATCTGATATCTTTGGCCGTTTGGGTTACTAGGACCATGAGGGTAGAAAACAAATGCTCTATCTGCTTTATCAAAAATTCAGAGTCGTTATCAAGACTTTCAAAAAACTTTATTCGAGAAATCTTGACATTTTGTAAAAAAAATATTTTTTGACGTCAAATTTCTCAAAACTGGGTATTAAGCAGATAGAACTTCGTAAACCAAGGGCAGCATGTCTAGCAGCTCTAACTAGGGCGTCCAACTTTACTTAGAGAGGAAACGTAATAAGTTTTTGGGTTTTAATTTTTTTCTTCTGTTTACATGTATATTCGAATTTGTTTTTTACTAGTGCAGGTAGCCTTCAGGCGTGTTTGCCAAGGAATTAGTTGGTGGCATACCGGACCTTTGTGTGGCTGATCCTGGGATATAAATAATTAGCCAAGTACCCGTTTGATGAACGGACTCCAAAGAATCGAACGTCAAGTCATTACATTGTGAAAATAGTGCGCACTGCTTGTGAACGGAAGCCTCACTTGTTTACAATGGTGTCTTAGAAGAGGGACTTTCCCAAGATTAGATCTAAACGAAACTAGTAAAATACTGTAAAATTAAACTCCAGTAACTTCAGACTTCTTAATATAATTGTGCACCCTTTAAATGATTCTGAACCACCGTTATTTTTTTTTTTCAAATTCAAAAGTTAAAGAAAGTTTTAGGCTACCAAAGTAACAAACATACACAAATATAACAGATAATATTATTAAAGATAATCTGCTCTCCATCGATGTGCCTTCAACTCTCCTATTTTAGAGGTTTCAAAGGGTTGGGGGGGGGGGGCATCTTTTCTCTATCACAACTAGAGTCTATGCCAACATTTCTTCAACACCAGCGAATAATATATAATCTAAAATAGGAAACAGAAACTCAATACTGTTGAGACTTGCTTTCTAAATGACCTTTTAGTGACGAAGATTTATAGAAAGCCAAAACAAGCAAAACAAAACAAAACAGAATGCTAAATAAACTTCTGCAAATGCCTAAAGTGCGCCCATCACGTGCACATCTCTCTTGTACTTCCAACATTGTGAAAAACTTTATTATGTAAACTCCCACAAGAACTCCACTTTCCATCAGTCCACATGTTTTCACCATTTCAGGGCTCTTAACGTCTCTTCCCCTATTCACCCCCTCAGAGATTCTGAAAAACCAATCAGTGTCGCAAGGAAAGACTGCACGAAGAATGAAACCCCGTAAATCAACAGAGATTAAACTGATCACCGAGCATTTGACTAACAAAGAATTGGGTGTTTGAATGCCCCCCCCCCTCCAACCCCCCCCCCCCCAAAAAAAAAAACAACCCCTAATTATACCAGGTGCATGAGCACACGACGCAGAAGAATCAGGCTACAATATTAAAGGCAAGAATATAGATCAGCAAAAAGTTGGCAGAATGACGTTAAAGAATAAAATATTTACCACAGAAGGGCCCCCCCCCCAGCAATTGAGGAAAAGGTAGGTAACCCCCCCCCCCCCCCCCCAACATCCCACTCGCCTTGTGTTTAGGAGAAGGAGAACGTAATAGTAATAATAAAGGAAGTACTCCCCAGACCCTGCTTAATAAAAAATTTTAATTAACTCCGCCCCCACAACCCCACATACACACGAACACTGATTAGATGAGCATTCTAGTGCACCCTGTCAGAACACGACAAAAAAGCGGTAGAGGCTTCATGATAAAGGGAATATTGTATTACAGAAACAGTCAATTTTAGCTTTCAAATAGGAATACCATCAATCGTGTGGACTGTTCTTTCAAGAATTCTCTTTTCCCCTAGGTTTTCACTTGATTTAGTTCGTGGGGGACACGAGCAAGCATTCAACAACACAAAGCGACCATGCGATTGTGGTCAGTCACTGTTTGGGGGGGGGGGGGGTGAGTAACTGCTTTGGGGGGGGGAGAGAGTGGTAGTTTGCGAACTGTCTGATGTGGTTTACTCTTTCTTTCTCGTCAAATTATATTATATCTTCAACATTTTTCCTCCTTCTTTATATATGTATATATATATATGAAGTATATATATATATATATTTATATATATATATATATATATATATATATATATATATATATATATATATATGTGTGTGTGTATACATATATATTATTATATATATATCGCCTACTAGCTGAGTATCCGGCTTTGCTCGGGTTAGTCAGAAAGGGAAGGGGGGAGGGTGGTGCAGAAGGAAATATTTAGTTTTTTGCTGAAAGTGAAATATAACCATGACAAATTTCAAAACAAAGAAACCAGCAAACTAATGAAACATTTTAGATTAGAACAAGCAAGTAGGTACTCACATGCTCATTTTTAATCCTGGAGTGATTATAGGACTTCTTCGTATACAAAATTTCTGGTTTGTGCATTTGGTGACAAAATAAATACAGAAAGCCTGTCTCCTGTTCTTGATAGGGCAGCATATAACTTTCTATTTGAAAGTACTGACTGGATCAGGTCAAGTCCAGTACATTTCAGTGTTTGCCCTTAGGCTTTATTTATGGGTCATTCAAAAGCAGGGTCTGGCGGGAAATTGCCTGCATTTAAATTGGAAGGGGAATTTTGTGTCGGATGGTTGAAGAGGTGTGCGTGGAATAAAATGCGCTCTTCTTTGTATGGTTCAACAGCAATTTCTACCTTCACAACATTTCCTGTACACTTAACAACAACACACCGTTTGCCATCCATCAGTTGCGGCGGGTCCAGAGATCTCAAGATCATAATTGGCATGCCATCTTTTAATCAGAGTACATGAGGTGGGAGACCTGATACCTCAATTGAATTGACTCCTCTCTATATATTAAGATCTACATGTTTTAGATCTGCATTGCTGTCCAGCCCTTCACAATCACGAAATGCTACTGGCCTATTATGATAGATCTACATTATAGCTTTATATCTGCCTTGATTAACTCCTCTATTTCAGTAGATCCACAATAATAATGTGTTAGAAGACTCTTCTTAGATCTGTCCTGATCTGGTTAGGCCTTGGGCACGATCTCATCTTTACAATCACAAAATGTGCCTAGATCTACATTATTGCTTTAGATCTGCCTTGATGAACTCCTCTAATTCTATAGATTGTAAAACACTTACCACCCCCCCCCCCCAACCCCCCAACCCCCCCCCCCCCCCAAAAACCCCCCCCCAAAAAAAACAAAACAAAACAAAACAAAACAACCTCTCTTGATAAAAATAATCAGGAAAAATTAAATGCAGTTTCTGGAAAGCTTGAATAGACATAAAAGCTCCACCCCCCCCCCCCCCCCCTTAGTTTCACCGACAAAATTGAAGGCACACAGGGGCAGGGGTCAACCCAGTGCAACTTGCTTGGAGAGCCTGAACAGATGGATCACGAGGAAAGATCAGGATAATCTAGCTTTCTGGGAGCATCCGAGTAAATGAATGAACAGAGAACTATGACCCCCCGGGGTCTGGTGCAGATCTGGCACTTGATGATGATGAAGTTACTCTCTAGTAAAATCTCTTATCTCCGGCACTTATGATATGACCTCTTATTACAGTGTGTGGCGCAGCGGTTAGGCACTTCGCTCTCGCATGCAGGAGACCCGAGTTCAATTCGCGAGTGGGAAGAAAATTTTCATCGAGTATCTCGGTCTTTCTCTTAGGCTTTAGTATCCCTTTCAGCACGGGTTGGCCCTGACAAACAGGGTCTGATACCCGCCTCCTAAATGATTTCTTTCGATGGAGGCGTGCGTAAAAACACCGTAATTAACGGTTTGAGGACGCACTGTTGTGAAGTACTTTTAAAAATATGCATAATAACTTCCTTCTTCATAAATTATCTCCAATTCAGTTTTCTTAATTAAGCGAAAGCTTTTCTTTAAAGAGGCAACAACGCCCACACTATGAAATATGTACATCTGTGTTTCGGAGTCTCTCGAGGTCCAACCCCTTGTCCACGTCGTGGGAAATGGAAACAGAACAAAGTATGGGATTGCTGGGTTTGGGTGAAGTTCGGAGTGACGTTAAGTCACCGAGGCGTTACGCTAGCTGTGAAGGCAGACCCGGGTCACCCTGAAACAGTGTTGGTTAACGGGGCTCTGGTGAAACTGCGACTAGCTTAGCAGGCCGGTAGTGGATGTTAATAATGCTCAAGAATACTCAAGAATACAAGAGCAGACACAAGCGAACTGATAAAAGGAATCTGTGGCAGACACCCTCAGAGATCACGGGGTGTCCCTCCTACAGGCTACTCACCTTGTTAAAGACAGGTGCCTGTGTCTCCCCGCGACACCCACCGGTACAAGCGGAAGAAAAAAGTAAAGCTCTTTTGTTCATTATGCTGCAACAAAGCCTTTGGTCCGCTAGTCGAACGTATTATTGTTATGTGTCCGCTACCTCCTTATGGAGTTACCAAAAAAATTCAAAATATTTGCTACTGCTCCTCCTGCCACTCACCTATTGTAGTCAGTGTTTATATGATAGGTCCAGGGACAGAGCGAGATGTTGTGAAGACCGTCGTTGGAGATAGCTCCCCACCTCGAGGGGCAGTCGCTGTTGAGGTCGTGCTGGAATCGGATCGTGTCTGGGGAACACACAACATGTGGTGTGGGTGAATACTTCTAGAGCCATACCTTAGAATGGCAAGAGCGCACCCTCAGGATAATAATAATAATAATACTAATAATAATAATAATAATAATAATAATAATAATAATAACAACAATAGTAATAAAATTATTATTTTTGTATGCTGCATTGATATAAAGCAAAACTAAGTGTTAAACATGTTAGGCCTAATTCATAGCTTGAAATAATGCTTTTCTTGTCAAATGAAATTTTTATCGACTCAAGTTAGATTATTTTAGCTTCTGACCCTGCTTGTCAGAGCCAACCCGGGATGAGAGGGATACAATATCCCAGCAGAAAGACCGAGGTGCTTGAAAAAAAGGAATCCCCACTTGAGAATGGAAATACGTAGTCTTTTTTTCTTCGTACTCCTAATTTCTTCCGTAGCTTATTTTGTCGGTCGTTACATTCACAGGTTTGGTTATGTTCTGTTCATTTTCGTGTTTACCTACTTCTAACAACCGACAGATATAATTGTGGTTTACAACCTAGGTGTATGATTTTTACAAGCACCTTTGTATTGTCTAAACTCATATCCAAGCCTAGTTGTGAGCCAAGACGCTAGAAACCTTTATATTTCTTTTATATTTCTTTAGTAAATTATTACGTCGATTGTTACACTCTCAGTTTAAGTTATCATCTATTCTTTTTTTATGTATGCCTAATTGTAACAACCAATAAATAAACATATTATACAAGCTGTGTGTGCACTTTTACAAGCACCTTTGCACTGATGAAACTGTTATCCAAACCTAGATGTGATCTAAGAAGCTGGAAAGAACCTTATTTCTTTGTCATCTTCATTTCTTTAGTAACTTGTTCAGTTGGGGTCGTTACAATCTCAGTTTTGGTTATAATCTATTTTTTCATTTCTGACTAGTTGTAACAATCAACAGATAAATAATACATGAATATACAAACATGATCAGGATGATCCAAAAAAAAACAATATACAACTTTTTCTTTTTTTAAAGATATTTTCCTTCACTCTGAAGTTTTGCATTTCAAATTTGTACACACAATTTGGATGCCAAAGGGAATTTGTCTGTATTCATTTGAGATAATTCTACAGAGTAGTTTTGCTCTACATAGCGCTTAAAATACAACAACCCATTTTCAGCTATGTCCCCATTTTTGCAGCACGACGCACTAGTTCGTATTAGGCTACATTCATTAAAAGTCCCTACGATCGCACCATATTGCAAGCCACAGTGGTCTAACAGGCAAAAAGAAGTTTGCAGATAGTTTTTCTTAAGTTCCCTTTGCCTGCTAAGATCATGGTTTGGATTAGTAACGAGCAAAGAGTTTTTGTATTGAACATTTCCTCACCGCCAACTCATTTCGTAAGTTTCGCGCAAGGTACTGTAACAATGTTTAAATGCCCATGCCTTCTTTGATGTCAAGCGTCGAAATAATCCATCAGTTAGGACCTGTAGAGAATCAGAACAAACATGTTCCGGACAAAACGACCACTGCATGTCAAATACACACCGTTTGCACCCCTTAAAACGTCACCAGGGTGCAGATTTTGGAAGGTGAGCCCCATGAGACGTTTGTCCGTAGACGATGTCCGCAGCAAGGACCTTCCTGCACCTCAACGGTCGGCATTTTCATGGCAGATCTTCATCTACGACTGCACCATTCTCCTGTTTGCAAAGCTGACATGAATCAGAGGATAGATCTAGCAAAGTGTTCATGATTCCTCGATCGTCTTGAAAAGCATGAACATTCCTCAATGACATTTGATTCCTTGGCAAAGCCCATTTTCACATTTCTGGATATGTTAACTCCAAAAATGCCTAGATCTATATGAGCAACCTCACACACCTTCCTACTGTCTACTGAAGCAACTCCGTACTGTAAGGTGTACAGTGTATGTAGCTTTGAGTACTCATGGTGGGGTGGATCGTTGTGTTTGGCTACCACTGTACATAACGAACCACGCGTTAAAATGTGACAAATCCAAAGTAGGACATAATAGAGGACACTATAGATTTCGGAATTCAAGAATTAAAACTGTTTGGTTTTTTCCGTTTTCGAAAACAAGTTTCTTCTGTATGAATTCTTTGCCAGACAAATTTCTTTTGAATGAATTATATCTGTTCCAAATAACAACATTCTAGTACAAAAATTGTGCGAGATATTTTTTTTAAGTTTTACGGTCTTGGGTAGTTTTTCTGAAGCAAATCAGGTGGTTCCACTTACGAATAAAAATTGAACAGACTGTCAAATTGAAAGACAAAAAAAATAGCGGCGATCGTAAACAAACTGTTGGGAAATTCCAAAACGTGCAGCTGCGTGCGAGAGAATCTTGACGTCATTTTCTATTATAATTTGTACGCGTGGATTCGTTTGGTTCAAGGCAAACCAACATTTGCAAAACAAGGACGCTAGATTCCTGCATTAAAGCTGTAGCTGAAGTGCAGAAATACATCATTCCAGATCGTGTTTGAGTATGAAAGAAATAAAACTAGGGAACTCAACGAAATTTAACACTTTAGGATCGAGCGGGGACACGTCGTTGTCACGATCGAAGTACGGGGTAATTTGATGGAAACACGCCAACTGTTGTGGGTGGTACTCATATTCCTCATTTCACCCAGGTTGGAATGGATACCCAGCTATAAATAGGGAAAGATCTCGTCAGTTTGTTAGTGTTTGAGCACCTCCAAAATGTTAGCTTGCACCCCTGTGCTTCCTAAGAAGTTGAAAATGTATCAGAATGCTGTCAGGTCTTTTTTTTTTTCTTTCTTTTTTGGTAAGTGTTTTACGGCGCTCGCAACTGCAGAAGGTATTATGAGCGCGCGGGACACATTAAACATTTTCGGTAGGTAGGAAATTTTGAATATTGCCCGAGTGGCGGCCGAAACCTACTCTTATCGGTTTAAAACCATCAAAGAGTCTTTAACAAGCGCAACTTGCACACGGGATTTTCGAGATATTGCGCCCTTGTCCGAGAAGGCTAGCTGCTAGGTGTAGATATTTCCTACCAGAAGATCAGGGGTGTGGCTGAAAGACAGCAGTAAGAAGGAGCCATGGAGTAAAAGTAGAAAGGCTGCAGAAAGAGTCAGGAGCCTAGAGGGGGGGGGGGCAAAAGAGGTGAGGGGGAGGGGGCAGAAAGCGGAGACGAAAGCAGACGACAGAACATTGCAATAGAGCAGGAAAGAAGGTGAAAGGAGACAATTTTTAGAGAAGAAAATTCTTCCGTCACTACCCGGATTCGAACCAAGGACCTTTGAATGAGAGGTGAACATCTTAACCTCTAGGCTACGAGAGCCCCAGCTATTAGGCCTGCTAGGGTAATAATATGTTTAGATTGTAAAACGCAAAAAGTATTCTGTTGAGTGGGAATTTACGCCATTATTATTATTATTATTATTATTATTATTATTATTATTATTATTATTATTATTATTATTATTATTATTATTATTATTATCATCATCGTCATCATCATTATTACTATTATTATTATTATTATTATTATTATTATTATTATTATTATTATTATTATTATTATTATTATTATTATTATTATTATTATTATTAATATCAAAGCGCATAGAGTACGCATTAAAGCCTGGATATGCGCTATATAAATATGCAAGTATTGTTATAATCATTGTTATTTGGGCACTAAAGCCTTGAAACAAACCATGGGAAGGCATTACTGACACGTCTTACTTCTTTATTCTCTACTTTTGTTTTTTTGTCTGTCTATCTGGCCGGCTGGCTGGCTTTTTATATAGCTATATAAAACTGTTATCGTGCTGGATTGCTTCTTTTTACTCTCTCTCTCTCTCTCTCTCTCTCTCTCTCTCTCTCTCTATATATATATATCTATCTCTCCCTCTTTTTATCTCTTTCTCGAGAGAGAAACAAATACATGATCCTATGTCTGTGGTGTAGTTGGTAGGTGCTTTGCCGTCCAATGCAGAAGACTTGAGTTCGATTCCCATGTGGAGAGAACTTCTATAAGATATCTCGGTCTTTCTTCTGAGAAGTTAATAATTATATTCCTTTCAGAACGGGTTTATTCTGACAAGCAAGCAAAGTCAAAGACTGCTTTCTTAATCATCTATAATATTGTGACAATAAGGGACCTTAAAACACTTCCACGTAGAGAAAGACATGGATGACTCAAAATATTTAAAATGCAAATAAAAACAACAACAACAACAAAAAGACGTTTCCAGTGTCATTGACAATATTGACACTGTTCCTATGAAGTGATCCATCTGTTATAAAAAGCAATGGATAATAATAATAATAATAATAATAATAATAATAATAATAATAATAATAATAATAATAATAATAATAATAATAATGTAAAAGTAAGAATAGGAATAATATAATAATAATAATTAGAAGAAGAAGAAGAAGAAGAAGAAGAAGAAGAAGAAGAAGAAGAAGAAGAAGAAGAAGAAGAAGAAGAAGAAGAAGAAGAAGAAGAAGAAGAAGAAGAAGAAGAAGAAGAACAACAACAACAACAACAACAACAACAACAACAACAAAAACATCAACAACAACAACAACAACGACAAAAACAACAACAATAGCAACAGGAACAACAACAACAACCATAACAACATCAATATATACTGAGACATCAACATGAACTGCTCTATGTATAACTTCATCTACCCCCCCCCCCCCTCCCCCTGAAGAAAACCCCAATACATGTAAATAAATTTGAATAAGTAAATAAACAGTTAAATAAATAAACATATGAATAAATAAATAAATGAATAAATAAATAAAAAACAGTAACAACAACAACAACATCAACAACAACAACAACAATAACAACAAAAACGACAACAACGACAACAACATTAATTGATGACGTAAATGTCTAAAAGTCAAACTCTGGCACATGACCCGACCATGTATCTAAACTCGATAATTACACAGGAGCACGGCAAAAATCAATGGATATATAACTAACAAAGTAACCCCCCCCCCCCCCCAAAAAAAAAACAACAACAACAAAAATTCTCGGTTCACCAGTCCCAACTGCACTCTTCAGATCTCTTCGTAACAGGCTTAAACAAAGACTTAATTCCAATCTGTTTTGGTCTGATCGGAGGTGGACGTTAGATTCGGAGGTCCCGTCTCTAGTTTAACCCTTAAGTATTGCAAGGCGTCGTTAACCCTATATTAGACAGTTAATCTCGTCTAAGACAGTAACCCAATATCAGGAGAAACGTGGCTGTCTTAGACAGGTATACGTCTTACTCAGTGTCAATGAGATGTAAAAATTTTACTTATGTCCAAGCTCAAAGGGCGAAAATTGAAGTGGCCGTGTGTAAAGGAGATAGAATTATACGGGTGACCGTTAGAGTAAATTCAGCTGTAAACTTCTTTCCATTTCTAAAGTGGACGCTGGCTACAACAAGATTGTTTGTTATTGTAAGCGTTTTACGACACTTGCAATACAATAACGTCATAATATCCGTGCGAAGATTAGAAGTGTCATAAGAGAGTAACGAACACAGAAAAGAAGGAGCAGAGATAAGAACAAATTATATGTTTGATAGAAAAGAAAGAGTAAACTACACCAGGGCACCCGCCAACCACCCACATAAACGATTGATAAGCTGTGCTCTAGGATAAAGTAAGATAAGATAAGATAAGACCAGATGAGATAAATAAAATAGGATAAGACAAGATGGGATAAAATAAGATAAGATTTCTAGGAACATGAACTGTACGGACGGATTCTCCGAAAATGAGATAAGATAAGACAAGATAAGATAAGATAAGATTCCTAGGAGCATGAACCGTACAGACGGATTCACTGAAGATAAGATAAGCTATGTTAAGACTCACTTGGCTCCCCGGAGGACGGCCGGAAGCTGATGTTGTTGAGCTGAGCCACGAAAGCTGCCAGGTTCTCGTCCGACTCTCGACACTGTTGGGCCCGCCCCAGAGAACCTGGTCGACCTGCAGAGGTCAGTCGACATGCGCAGTACAGCAGCAGACCTATTGACAGTTTCAGCAGTAAAGACACCTGTGGGGGAGAGGGTGAGTTTAAAATCGTATTTAACACAAACATAACATAACATAACATAACATAACATAACATAACATAACATATCATAACATAACGTGGGTGGTTGGCGGGTGCTCTGGTGTGGTCTGCTTCTTCTTCCCTATCCAACGTCTATCATCCTTATCTCCCCTTCTTTTTTATGTTTATTTCTCTCTTGTAACACCTCTAATCTTCTGTCGCTCATATGACCATATGCAGTTGTGAGCGCCGTAAAACCTCTATTAAAACTAAAACGAAACGTAACATAAAATAACACAAGGTTTTATGTACTTTTGCAAAGAGAAAATTGCACTTTCCGCCCCCACCACCTCACCTCCTTTGCCCCCTCGTCTGGGTTCCTGACTCTTTCCTCAGCCTTTCTATTGCTTCTCCTTGACCCATCTTACTGCTGTTTTTAGCCACACCCCGGGTCTTATGGTAGGTAGGATCTACACTTAGCCTTCTCGGACTAGACCGACAATCTCGGAGGTCCCGTGTGTAAGTTGCACACGTTAAAGATCCTTTGGTGGTCCAAAATTGATAAGAGTAGGCTTCGGCCGCCACCCAGGCAAAATTCAAAAATTCCTATCAACTGAAAATGCTTGATGTGTCCCTCGCGTTCAGATGACCTTATGCAGTTGCGAGCACCGTAAAGCACTCACCCCCCCCCCCCCCCCTAAAAACGGGGAAAATTCTGAATGCAATTCTTTTAATATATTTTTACAATTTCAATAGTGGAGATAAAACATTAAATGTTTAGTTTCTGGCTTCATGGTCTTAGTTACCTCAAAACGGCCAACAATGTCAAACAGCTTTGTAAATCTGAGGTAGCCCTTTATTTGTGAGTTGGAGCTCACTGTTCATTCAATCCCATGTTTCCAAAATTGTGTATGGTTGGGTGAGCCTTACAACATTCTCAGGATCTGATACAGTAAACCGATGCCTGTGGTGTGGTTAGGCTCCTTGCCTTGGAACACCAAAAACCCAAGTTCGATTCCCGTATGAATTCACCGAGTTTCTCCTACATTACTCAAATTGTGTCGATCATGGGGTAAAAACGCTTATTTAAAAAAAAAAAAATTTCATGTGAAACATGTTTTACAGAAGAATTAAACTGGAATGACACGGTTCGCAAACGAAGATTGAATGGTAATGTAAAGATTTGATTTGACTGCCTGCACTCCAACAGATAATCATAATAACCCTCTCTATTTGCTTTAAAATTGTGTCGCGATGAGATGGAATCAGGCTCTCATCAAGTTATGGGCATATAAAGTTATTAGCGTAACCCTAATGCCTGTTCATTTTCTTTGCTTTTTATGAAAAAAAAATCCATCAATATTGAACAGAATTCGATATATTTGAGATAGAATGAAGTGGGGGTTGCCTAGTGTCCAATGTGGTATTAGTAAAAGTTGGCCGCCAGAGTATGGTGATGTCCAATGCTTGAGTGTCCTTGGAACTTGCAACTTGCATTTTTCGTGCTTCCGATTAACTTTTAAAAAATGTAAAATCCACAGAGAAGTGAATGAATGCTTTTGCTACCATAACAGATGTTGAGCCCCCCCCCAAAAAAAAAAAACCAACAAAAAAACCCACCACCACCACCAACAACAACAACAACAACAACAACAAAACATAAACAAAACAAAAAACAACAACCCCGAATATTTAAAAAAAACAAAAAACTGCTCTAGTGACCGCAAAATATCACATTCTTTGATTTCATTATTTCAACGAGCGCCTGATTTTTTCATGATACAATGACAATAATATTGTAACGTTACCTGTGTCTGGGAAATATGGAGAGAGGGCAACATGGCGGTGGCGATGGGTCAGACGATAAACAGCAGAACGAAAGAAAAACCACCTGTCTTTTGGTTAGGCTTACTACTTTGGTTGACGTTGATTTTCCTTGGTTCTTACGAGCTCCCAAGTGTTTTCTCTTTTCCTTACTTTTTTCTTCCTTTCTTTCTTTCTGTCTTTCTTTTCTTTTTTTCTGTTTAGAATCCTTTTAGTTTAGGGTTTAAAAATCGTTTTTGGTTGCTGTATTCTTTTTTGAAGAGTCAGGGGTAGTTGAAAATGACCTGAAAAGAGAGATGGTTAAAATTTAAAAATACGATTGTTTTTGGAACGATGGACAAATTTCAACTTTAAAATCATCACAGTTTGCAATAAATAAGGTCGAGGGACAGGATGAATAAAATAGAAAAGAGAACCATTTGAAGGGCAATAACTCGATCATCTCTGTGCCAATTTTAACCAAATTTTGTAAACATAAAATTCATCGAAGGTGATATCACATATAAATGAATATAAAGACAACCAACAGATATGTTTGAGGAAAAATCAAGTTTTTAAATATAAATATAAACCAAAAATTAGAAAAGCGCAAAAAGTTTCAGCTTCAATGTGTATTTGTGCGTCAAAGAATACTTGAACTGGTCTAGCTAAAGAAACTTAGGGAAGATGGTGAATATTTAAACTATAAAAAAATTATGCTCCAGGTGTTGACCATCTCTTCAGTCAGCTCGAATGAGCAGCTGGAAATTTTGCAAAAGCTCTGTAGTATGTTTCAGGGTCGATTCTTTGGACTTCCGGTTAAACTTTGAGTTTCCACAGCCCGATTATGTAAGTGTTGTTGCAGTAGGCTCTGACTTTTTTTTTTAAAGAAGAAGAAGAACCCTGAATTGAGTAAACTAATTAATAGTTATTGTTGATCTGGAACAACTAAGGCCACGATACGAATTTAAAAAAAGTTCCTTTAACGCTTTGTCTTCCCCATCAAAAGCAATTTCAATACCCCAAAAATGTATGAAAACTTCTTCCTAAGCCATGCTTGTTCGTGCGGAAGGATTGCTTTAATTCAAAATTATTAGAACAAAAGTTACAAAAGATGATTTCGAACCCTTCAGTAAGCACAGCCTTTTCGGAATATCACATCAATTATAATTTATTAATGTTTTGTGCGCTCATGACTCGCAGACACTCTACGGGATTTTTAACTCTTTAATTAAGTCCTGGCCCCCTTTTTCACTGCAAATACCAGCTGGTATTCACACATCTTCAAAATGTCATGACCCTCCGAAATTTCACATTTTGAGAATCTCGACAGAGGCAGAAAGTTTATGCCAAAATACACACAAAATTACGAGCCATTTTGCTGGTGAGTACATTATATTTTGTATAGGTTTAACATCCTCAGTCGTCGTTTCGTTATCATTCAATGAAAAGGATCAATTCCCTATAAACATTTTTTACAAAAGAGAGAACTGAGAAGGAATTATCTGGGGAAAAACGCAATCTACATTCTAACCTAATAACTTGTCTATTTTAAAAAATGCAAAGTAAAAAATTGAGGAGGAAATAGCAGTGGAACAGACTAGAGCTGGGCAATGAGTCGCTTCAGCAAAATCCGGATAATATTTTAGTGCACCTCTTCGGCTAATAATATGATATAAACCGCTTCAGCAAATGGGTTGGAACCACTTTGACAAACGGGTTATCATCACTTCAACAAATTGGTGCACCCACTTCGGCAAACGGATCAGGAAAGAGAGTTAAGAGTCTGACATCGGATAATGTTTCATTGAGAATTATCCGGTTATTCTTTTGGATTATCCGGATTTTGCCCACCTCTAGAACAGACACAATCTGTATTCTAGCCTAATAGGTTCTCTCTATTAAAAAAACCCAACATATATATATTTATTTATAAAGTAGAAAATTGAGGAGGAAATAGCAGTAGAAAAGGTACAATCTGTTTTCTGACCTAATTGCTTCTCTTTTAAAACAAAACATTCACAAAGCAGAGAATTGAGAAGGAAATAGCAGTGGGGAAGATGCACTCTAAATTCTGACTTTCCATGATACAATTATAATAATCCCCACTAAAAATCAATTGTGAAGTAGAGAATTCAGGATGATTTACGATTTAACCCAACGAAAGGAATTCTAACCTAATACATCATCAGTAAAAACTCATTACAAATCAGAATAATGAGGGGGAAATGTCTGAAGAAAAAGCGCAATATCTATTCTGACCTAATACATTACAATAAAAAGTTATTTATAAATTAGAGAGTTGAGAAGGAATTACCAGAAAAAAGCTACAATCCATATTCTGACCTATTAAATTCCCCCAAAAATTGAATTACAAATTAGAGAGCTGAGGAGGAATTATCTGAAGAGAAGACGTAATCGCCATTCTAACCTAATATATTCATGTAAAATTTATTACAAATTGGAGAATTGAGGAGGAATCACCTGAAGTGAGGACGCAATCTCCAGTAAAACCTAATTTCTCATAAAAATTAAGAATTGAAAAAGAATCCCTTGAAGAAAAGACTCGAAATGTATGCAAATCTAATAAAAACCCAAATTTACCTCTGGAAAAATAAAGTGTCACCTTATCTTATCTTTTTTTTTTTTATCTTATCTTTTTAAAAATTCAAGACTTGAGAAGGAATTACCTGAAGAAAAGACGCAATCTGTATTCTAACCTAACAGCGAACCCATTCTCTCTTTTCCGTGTGTGCTGACACAAACCAATACGTCGCCGGTCCGTGGCTGTTTCATGTGGACAGCATGTCCATTCGCTCGGGTTTTAAAGACATCTCGTGGACGACACCTGAGATCTTCTCCTGGCTCTCTTTTTCTTTTTCTTTCTCAGCCAATGAGAGATGAGTGAAGGAATTGTTGCGAGGCGGACTCTGATATCGGAGCAACGTGTTGAGGAGGAAATAAATAGAAACTTTTCAGATTGAGCATTCTGTTCCCTTTTTTTAAGGTGGTTGGAAGATGGTGGGGGTGGGGTGGGGGAGGGGGTGATTCTGGCTCGTGGGTTCTGGAAATCTGATATGGTTTCAAACTTTTATTGTCCGTTTTCTTGTTTATTTATATTCTACTGTTAATGAGCATCTCTCATCCGTTGCATGCAAAGAAAGAGAGGTAGAAAACCACACTCACAAACACACTCACACACACACACACACACACACACACACACACACACACACACACACACACACACAAACACACACACACACAAACACACACACACAATGAAGCTCATACATATAAAATACTCATATGCAGCTCCTACCGTTTTCTTACTTTTAAAACGTAGGAGAGCTTTTCATAATGATATGAAAAATAACATTATTGTTTTAATGGTGCGCTCTGGACTCGAAAGTGACAACTAGTTTATTCTTGTTTTTCACATCCATATTCACTACTATTGCTAATTCTTCTGCTTAATGGAAAACTTCAGTACAGAATTTGTTAAGTTTTTATATAAAATAGGAGCTACAACTTCAAAAGGTTTGTACTCTGCTACTGGAGTGTCTATTACAGTTAGTGTGTTGACGCAAATGGTCAAATAACGTCTCTTGCAAAATTATTCCCATTTTCATCCAAGAGAAGGAAGTTAAAGCTGAAAACAATGATACTCAAGTTTCAAAACTTTTTTTCCTCAGTTGTGGGCGATGCTATTGACATTGTTTCTTTCCCTAGGCTATATAACAAAAATAACAATAAAACAACAACAATTTATTTCCTTACTTTTTCTTTCAGGTCTGTCTTGAGTACAGTTGTTTGTTTTTTTTCAGCCGGTGTCTGTGGTTTAGCAGTTAGACGCTTAGCCCAAGCAGGCATATGGCGTGAGTTCGATTCCTGAGTGGGAGGGTCTTTCATTGAATGTCTCTGTCTGCCCGATCGGATGCTGGATCGTTCTCAGCTCTGGTTGGCCTCGACAGGCAGGGTCGAAGCAGCCCATCTCCTCTATGTTATTAATTGTGTCGATGTGGACGCAAAACTTATTCAATCATGATTTTCTTGAGTATATTTTTGGTAAGTGTGTTACGGTGTTCGCAACTGCAGAAGGTTACATGAGCGTGCGGCTCAGTTTGGTGAGAATTTTGAATTTTGCTCGGGTGGCTTATCGATTTTAGGACCGTCAAGAAATCTTTCACATGCACAACTTGCACATTGGACCTCCAGGATTCATGAGTCCTTATTCTAGAAGGCAAAGGTGTTATGTCTACCTAACCTAAGGTCAGGGGTGTGGCTGAAAGACAGCAGTCAGTAGCAGCCAAGGAGTAGCAGTAGAAAGTTGAAAGGCTTCAGAAAGAGTTGCTGTCAGGTTTACGAACCGGTGACCTATTGAATGAGAGGCGAACCCCGTACCTCTAGACCACGAGAGCACCCCCCCCCTCTCAACCAACCATCGAGTATATTGACAGTAGTTAAAATGAATTGGACAAGAGACAAAAGATATGTTCATGCAGACAGTGGCACATAGACCTGAATTATGATATTCCAGATCGGGTACTGTCGTGGTCGCCAATCTTTGCTCTCTAGAAGAACTTCGTTGTGCTGGTGCACACCATGGACGCCCAAATAAAGGGCGAATGGCAGTGGTGTTACAGTCGAGTGCGCGCGTGATCTTACCCTTCCAAATAGAACCAGATGATGCGCGCCAAGGCGAACCAGAATTTAGTCAGAGAGCACAGTCTTGGATATTATAATACACGTCTATGACTGAATGAAAGTAAACTGTTTGGGTATTGTGATCACAATATACGTCTATGACTTTCATAGGAAATGTGCAGACAATAATGCGAGCCAGGGAGTTCAACCCAGTAGTGACTTGACGATATTCGTAACCTGTGAACTGTGAACTGTGAACTGTGAACCGGGTGGGGCGCGCAAGGATGCTATCTTGTGTCTTCTTTCTGAACGTTTGTCGTTTTTGTTGTTGTTGTTGTTGCTGTTGTTGTTGTTGTTGTTGTTGTTGTTGTTTTGTTAGGGGGAAGTCAGTGGGGGTTGATTTCGGTGGATCCTGCAGGAATACAGCCTCCGCCCTCCAACCCACACCCAACCCTAATATGTACTGTCTTGATCTTCGGGAACATTTAAGGTATTGACACCCGTCCTGTTGGACATTCCGTTAAAGAGTGAGACAATCTTTGCAGCCTACAAAAGGTTACCGGAATGCAATCCTGTACCAATATAACTTGAGTACCACACTCCACAAACCAGTTAGACAGCTGCCATGTCTGAGAGTTGGGGACAATGAAAACAAGAAAAGCTTAACGCACCAACATGACACATATTATACGGATATGTTCAAAAGTAAGTATAAATATAAGGATAAAATCATTGTTATGGTTGTACTTACCTCATTTAAACCATTAGCACTTCAAATTAGTTGGCCTTTTGGTATAATACTTAATATATCATTAATAATATTAATTATTAACTTAAATGTAATGTTGTAATAACGTTACTGAATTAAGCACTACAACAATGATGTGATACCTACTACCTACTTTTGAACCCTCTTGTGTTTGTACTTGTTCACTAGTCACCAACATAGCAATTGGGCAACTCTTTTGTCGTTGAGCTGACCAAAGAGTGAGCTCTTCAAGGTAACATATTGAAAGTAAGCATGACATCGTTGACCCAAACAGTTGTTGTTGCTGCAGCCTCTACAGAAGAAGGATGCCTTTCTTTCTACGTTAGTTGTAAAAATGTTTTACGCACTCACCGACCCAATTTCCTCACATCATAACAGGAGACGTGCTGCTTCGATCCTGCCTGTCAGGGCCAACCCAGGCCGATAAGGATCCGACTTGCCAACAGAGGAACGGAAATACTTAATAAATAAAAAGTAAAAGCTCCCCACATGAGAATTGAACACATGTGTTCAGCGTTCTGCTGCTAAGCGCATAACCGCTACAGCACAGATGCCAGTACCTTTCCGAATTGAAAAAAGGGTCCGAGGAAACAATATGATATTAAGGGGTTTTTTCTGGGGGGGTTTTTTTTGGAATTCATAGTCATAAGCATCTAATATCCATTAAAACGCTGTAAGGTTGTTGTTGTTGTTGTTGTTGTTGTTGTTGTTGTTGTTGTTGTTGTTGTTGTTGTTGTTGTTGTTGTTGTGTTTAATTGGCGGGACACCGAAACTTGCCATCCATCTCCGAGAGAACCAAACTTATTTTGTCGGGGAAAGGGCCATTGTATGAAAAGTGAGACTGCAGAGACACACAATACGCGGGAACGATGACCTAATTAAAAGTGAATAATCTAAGCAGTGGTATAGTCATTCTTTGTTGTTGCTGTTGTTGTTGTTGCTGCTGCTGCGGTTGCTGTTGTTATTGTGGTGGTTGTTGTTGTTGCCGCTGTTGTTGTAATTGTTATTGTCGTTGTTGTTGTAGTTGCTGTTATTGTTATCGTCGTTGTTGTTGTAGTTGCTGTTATTGTTATTGTCGTTGTTGTTGTTGTTATTGCTTTTGTTTTGTCGTTTTTGTTGCTTTTGTTGTTATAATTGGTTGTTATACTGGTTTTGTTTTTTGTTTGTTGTTGTTTGTTTGTTTGTTGTTGTTTTGTTGTTTTGTTATTGGTTTTTGTTTGTTTGTTTGTTTTGTTTGTTTGTTTCTTGGGGGGGATGTTTCGTAGTTTTGTTGGTCTATGTTTTTTTGTTGTTGTTTTTTTTTCTTTGGGGGGGGGGGATTTCTTGGGCTTTGTTTGTTTTGTTTGGGGTTTTTTTTTGGGGGGGGATTTGTTTGTTTCATTTGTTTTTATTGGTTGAGGGGGGAAGGGGGGGGGGGGTTCGGGCTTTGTTTTCTTTCTTTTTTTTTTGAGGTTTTCTGTTGTTGTTTTCTTTTGGTATTTGGTAACGGAAAGTTGCCTCTAGCTAAATAAGTTTAAAAATGATTATTGCTGATTTGAATTCTTATTTCAGCAGATAATCATCCCTGCGTTTTTCGTATTCATTGGAGTTTTATTTTTCATGGAATCACTCAAACCCTCTAAATAACCCAAATGAGCCAGCCTATTGAAGATTCGAACGAAAATCATTCGATATCACCAGAACTAACGACGCGATTTGGGTCTATCGAAAAGGCCAAAATGACTCAGGACCCACTATCTAAACCTTTCCATTTTCATTTCTATGTAAGTATTTTCAATCCCCTACTGACGCTATTAAAAATTAGACCATTTAAGAGGTGGGCTTCGACCATGCCTGTCAGGGCTAACCTGAGCCGAGAGGGATGCACCGTTTCTGCAGAAAGACTGCGATACTCCATTAAAATTCTCCCGTACAGGAACCGAACTCAGGTCCTCCGCGTGCAACGGAGCTAACCATTATACCACAGACGCTGACTGCTTTTTGTTGAGACCCTTTAAATTGTCCAGGACGGGCTTGGAATTAAATGTACCTCCAAACCTGTTGAGATGGTAACCCGCGTCTGCGCAAAATTTTGTTAGGCGCTTGATAAACCCTGTATGGAATTTTATTTATGAAATGTTTTATTTTGTGTTATTTCAATAAGAGTTCTACGGCACTTGCAACAAAACTGGGTGATACAACTGCCGAAGATTAGAGTTTTTACAAGAGAGTGACATACACAGAAAAGAAGGAGGGGAAATAAAGACGATGGAAGATGATAGACATTTGATAGGAAAGAAGTAGCAAACCACACCAGAGCACCCGCCATCCACCCATGTTTAAGAGGCAAGATCTCCAGACTTTCCGTTCATCTCCAATAGGACCGAACCAAAAGGACGGAGAGCCTTGAGTGGCGTCCGTGCCCTTGGCTACAGGACTCGCAATGATGAGATTGGCGATTCGAGTGTTCGAGCCTCAACTCGGTGAGATGTTGTGTCCTTGGGAAAGGCACTTAACACGAATTTCCCACTGGGCTCGGTGCTTTCGGAGATGGACGTTGAATTCAGAGGTCCCGCCTCTTAAATAACCAAACAGTGTTGATACGGGCGTTAAACCAACACCATTTCACCATTTTTTGGACAGCCTTGGAAAGTTCCTGAACAGCTTTGTCAAGGAACACTCCCTTGGGGATTCGAACCAGGGTGAAGTCCATTGTACTCCAATATCAACCAACTTTGTTATATTTATTTGCCTTTGAATAAAAGGAAAGGAGAAACTCAATAACAGGTCTGAGAAGAGGCAAAAATAGTTTTAATCTTTTTATCATAAATTATCAAAACTGCGTAAGCTGTTATCAACATGGGTTTTTTTTTATTTGAAAAGTGCAACAGAAAGGAGATGGATTTGATTGATCTGAAGAAATGTGTAATATAAATGCATGAGATCAGAAGTTGTCATGAATGTTATAATGGAGAAACAGTTGTTATATAATACAAGAGAGGATGTTATACAAAATATTTTATCCATAATAATATACAATGACGTCGGTAGTCTAGTGCTTAGGTTATTAGACTCACAACCCAAAGGATGTGAGTTTGAGCCTCATCAGGGGTCGTGTCCTTGGGAAAGACACTTTACATGAATTTTACTCCCTTCAACCGGGCAGGAATTAGGACCCAGCTAATTTATATCAATTTGTTTCCTTTGAGCGCTCAATGGTCTGCTTTTCACTGTATGCTTCCTGGGAAGCACACATTTCTAGCTGTTCTAAGGTCTTCTGGGTTAATGCAAGAAATAAACTAATACCAAGATTCATTCTGCATATCGATCTCAGTATTTCATTTTCATCATCATCGTTGTTGTCGTCGTGCTCACAATAGGAGATATTTTGCCGTTAAATCGAACAGACCTTGATGTCCAGCCCCTCAAACCCCCTAAAGTCCCAGTTCTTCAAACCCCCTCAACGTTCAGTTCCTCAGAATTTCTCAATTCTAAGTCCCTAACTCACTCAATATCCAGTCCCTCAGACTCCTCAATATCAGGTCCCTCACTCCTCAATACCATGTCCCACAGACTCACTCAATATTCAATCCTTTAGATCATTTTAGTGTCCAGCTCCACTGATCATGGATTTTTTAAATGACCAGTCCTTCAAATGACCAATCCCTCAGACTCATCAACGTCCAGTCCTTCAGACCCCTCTGGATGTCCAGTTCCTCACACTTCGTCAATATCCAGTCCGTCCAGATATATAGCCTCAGTGGCGTTCGCCTCCAGTACTTCCCTACCCTTGGCTGGAACTATCGTGTCAGTAAAGTCAATTCTTTTCAAGCCACGCACTTCACTCAAGACATCAGCCAAGGCCGAACACATTTCCATGCTGAGGCGTCCTCGGGAGAGGTCAAGGTCACGAACAGTGGATGCCAAGCGCAGGTACTCAATGAGATGAACGAACCCAGTCCTTCCCAGACTGACCCCAGATAGGCCTAAGCAGGTCAAGGTCTCACATCGTTTTAGGCCTTGGAACAGCGCGGCTAGGTCTGTCCCCTCTAGTTCGGTGTCCGTCAGACGAAGCTCTCGCGTTGCGACAGAATTTTCCATAAACTTCCCGAGGGCGTCAGCGCCGATCATGTTGATAGAAGACCTGGCGAGGTCCAGAATTTGCAGCTCTGCCGGAAGTGAGTTGATCACGTGACAAGTTACAGACGACATATGGCAGCCGTAAAAGGAGAAATGTGTGACGGATGAGAGACAAGAGCAGAATTCTTGCAGATCTGCCCAGGTCGACGCCTCAACGGTTTTTATGGCCTTCTTGGTGAAGTCTTCAACTCGCAAAATCTGCAGAGCCGGTCTCTTAGAGAGGCAAACCTTGAGGAACTCAGACATTAGTGATAGAGAGGACCACGCCACCGTCAGGGTTTTCAGATGAGACGTTTGACTGAGCGCCTCGGCTATGGAGAGATACAGCTCCTTTTGTCTAGTGTGTAGGTTCACGAGATTTATCTCAACATTCAACACTTTCACCTTAGGGTCCTTCAACATGTAGCAAAGCCCAGACACCATTCGAGGATTAATGATGCCTTCTCCGCGAAGCTGCAGCAGCCTAGGAAATGAGTTAGCTAAGATTTCTATGGCGTCGCTTCTCCCCTCCACCTCTGTTAAAGCCATAAGACTGTGACAATACGACATTGCTGCCCCACTTCTCAGATGATTCTCGTCCATAAAGTCGGGTTCTGCCTTCGGCTTGAAAACTACTTTTTTGCTTCGGCGCGCGTTCAGAGACGCCATCTGACTAAAGAGAAAGTCCAATGTCTGCGCAGAGTGGTCGTTTCTGTAGAGTCCGAGGCAAAACGCCACTATAGACGCAGCTCTAGGAGACCTCAGGAAGTGATGGTCTTCCAGTTTCCTCACAAGCTCATTTTGCGGAAGATCTGCTAAAAATCTTGCAGTTAGGAAGTCCCGAAGTAAGGTGCAAGTGAACTTCCAGCGTAAGCCTGGTCCGGCTTTAGTCAGAACGCCCATCTGCGTCACTGCGGGGTTAGAGGTCACGCCGACGAGGTCATCGTCCGTAAAAGTCAAAGACTTGGTCGAAACGGAATGGAAAGCCAGTGTTTCAAGCTGACTAATCGTCCGTGTTACCTATAAGGCGGGAAAAGAAAGAGGCTGAGAATGGAATGCGTCATTTAATCATGTATTATGAGAAACAATACTAACACAAAATCCTTTCTGTAAAAAAAAAATGACAGGAAAAATTTCAATTTAGCGCGGTCATATAGGTTCAGTTTATTCTTTATCATAGTAAACTACCTGTTCGTGAGATCTACGTTTTACATTTTTTAAACCGGAACCCCCCTCCCCTCCCCAAAGAACAAAACGGTACCCATCCACCTTGCTCTTCGAGAAATTGTTAGTCTTTCGATTTTCAACTCCTCACTATAATAATAATAATAATAATAATAATAATAATAATAATAATAATAATAATAATAATAATGATAATAATAATAATAACAATAACAATAAAAATAATAATAATAATAGTAATTATTATTATTATTATTATTATTATTATTATTATATAATAATAATAATAACAACAAAAACAACAACAATTACAACAACAATAATAATAATAATTATTGTTATTATTATTATTATTATTATTATTATAATTGACAATAATAATAACGAAGAAGAAGAAGAAGAAGAAGTCCGTTCAACTCTTACAACACGGCACAGAAACATGCTCGGCTTCCCGAGAAGCATACAGTGCAAGCTGCAGATCACATGCACTCAAACATTAACTAACAAAAGGAGGCCATTCTGATTCTTTGCTTGTACAAGGACTCATTCACAAGTTGATGAAGTGAAGTAAATGTCTTAAATGAAATAGAAGTTTTGAGGATATTAAGATGGCATGTGTCTTCTGCTATGGCCAATGAGGCCAGTTCTGGCAGAGCCGTATGCCTATGGTAACCTCTGCAGTAATAATTACCACTTCGGGAAACTCTTGTTCTTGAACCTCCAACCCTTCGTTCTGGCAGAAAGCAAAAGCCAGTGCGACAAGGTACTGCTCCATCAATCCTGAAACAAAAAAAATCACAGTTTGAGTAAAGCCACAGACAGTTCATCGGTGTTCGTTCGTAACTGAATAATATAGTAAAACGTGATGCTTGTGTTGTTGGGAAAGGTACTTTACATGGACGTTCCTCATTTCACTAAGAAAGGAATCGATTACCTGGTTATAAACAGCGTAAGATTCAGGCAGTTTACTAGTGTTTGAGCGCTTAATCAGCTGCTTGCGCTAATTGAAATATGTAAACAGAGAAAAGTAATGCCACGAAGACGCAGCTCACATATGAAAAGTGTATTACTAAACTCTCTTTTTAAAAGAAAATATCTAAGACATTCGAGTCTGGAGAATAGACTTGAATTATAACATCATAGAACGTGCACTGTCGTGGCCTCCGCTCTTTCCGCGTTATAAAAACGTAGCAGCAAAACCGGCACACCATGGGCCCCCAAATGAATGGCAACACACCAGTCTTGCCAGGCCGAGTGCGTATGCAACCTCCCCAACCCCATGCTCTTTGTTTTGGTTCCAAACTAAGGCAACAATGGCACGTTCCGTAGCAGACAGTGTTAAGTCAGGGTGCAGGATATAGGATATATTGTGGTCGGGAGAAATCGGGGGCACTATAGAACCCTACCGTGGTCGGTTAGTCAGTACAAAGCTTCCATCTACGGGAGCCCATTGGGGGATCGGGTCGGTTTGCAAGCCAGATTAAGGGCGCAAAGTGGCCATCGTGGCACAAGCTGATCGCACCCTCAAAGACAAACGCTTATGTTATCAGGCTACGAGTGGGACGATCGCTCTCGACCCGACCCGACCCGACCCGATCTCATCCGCAATGGGCACCGAGGTGACAGCATCGAGCCATAATGTGGGTTGAGAATCTTGAAAACTACATAAAACAACCATAGTTCAAGACCGCTCAGTCCGTGACTTGAACTAAGGACGTCTGCTCCCTGGTCCACCATGATACCTACCCACTGAACTAATAAAGTGTCCTATTGTTGGCATGATGTTCAACTGTTCGAAGATCAGAAAGCAACGTTTCTTTTTCAGGAGAGAAAGAGAAAAAGACTGTTTCATTCTTTTAAAATTGTACCTATAATATATTTCCTTGTTTTTTCAATAATTAGAGTTTTGACAAAATATTTATCGAGCTCATGCAACCGATACCACAGATTAAGGAACTGCGATTTTAAAAAAAGATTAACTGTAAAAAATGCAGGGCTTGGCACACCAGAACAACTGGCAAACGTTATGCGTATACCTGTGAGTGAGGAGATGGTCTCGAGCTTCTCTCGACCTAGCACCCGGTACACAGCCATGACGGCCGTGCAGCAGAACGGAAGTTTGAGTAGATCGGAGATGGCCTGGCACGACTCCAGAGGAAAAGCGATGACGTCAGCAGCTTCGCTCCCGTCATCGCTCACGTCACTGGGCTCGTCCAAGATGTGACAAAAGTTGCCTAAGCAGCGGGAAATTCCGGATACACTGAGGCCCAGATTGAAGAGTTTGTAGTCTGGCTTGACGAAGCTATCCACCTGGAGAGTGGGTGGGGGTGGGATGGAGTGGGGTTGGGTGGAGTTGGTTGGGGTGGGGTCGTGTGAGATGAAGAAAGATTGTCATTATCTTTGTCATTGCCATTGTCATAGTGTGAGGTGGGGTGGATTTGGACGGGGTGGAGTGGGACAGGGACTGGTAGAGTGGGGTGAGGTAGAGTGGTGGAGTGGGTGGTGTGGGATGGGGGTGCGAGCGGGGAATAGGAAAGAAAATTAAATCATAAGCTTAGTGTGGGTTTAATGGTTCAATGGCCCCGTTTATAGTTAGGTAAGCCAGGAAAAAGGGACCTTCAATTAAACGTCCATCTCTAATATCTCTGACCATCTCTATTGTCAGACCGGCGTAGTACGTGCTGAGGTGGTTGGGCGTTTTGCTGTTGCGAGCAGAAGATTTAAGTTTCGTTGTCTTGTGGGGAGAATAAAAATCGAGTATTTCTGTTTTTCTGTTAGGGCGTTGTATCTTTCCGACCCAGGTTGGCCCTGACAGGCAGAGTCAAACATGTCTCCAAATGATCTAAACTCTGTCGTTGGGGGCGTAAACTGCAATTACATTTTTTTTAAAACCGGAGACAGAGATTTGTCCCCTGGTGCACATTTCACAGGCCAGTGAAAAGAAACAAAATAAACTGGCAGGAAAATCAGAACTGAGAACGAAAAGCTAACAATCGCTCTAAAGGTTCAGTTACACTTACTTTGTTTAATATTTTAATTTTTAAAAAGTATTTCACCCATTAGCTTGTGATTCCGAAAGTGTACCTCTCACAGCATTGTGTGTTGTCCAAAAGTATAATATGTAAGATACTATAGATTGTCCAGCTAAAATAAATCACGATTTCTGTCTATCCATCTACCTTAATCGTCTCCGATGCTGCCATCTATATATAATCTATCTAAAACCTCTGGAATCTATCTATCTATCTATCTATCTATCTATCTGTCTATCTATCTATCTATCTATCTATCTATCTATCTATCTATCTATCTATCTATCTGTCTGTCTGTCTGTCTGTCTGTCTGTCTGTCTGTCTGTCTGTCTGTCTCTCTCTCTCTCTCTCTCTCTCTCTCTCTCTCTCTCTCTCTACTCTCTCTCTTACACACTCACACACACAAACACAAAGATACACACACATACACACACACTCACACATACACACTCACACATGCACCCTAAACACACACATTCGAAGAAAAAAAAACATACCTACACCAACTGTATTCCTCATAAAGGTCACAATCACACAACAACGTTTCAACAACTATAAATTAAAAACGTCTACGGCTCACTCACCCGTGCCTCTGGTCGGACAAATATGAGCACGGCTGCAGAACGTAAAATTGAACCTTGGACAAGTGCAGATATGTCTGGACCACCCTGACCACCTTCCCAGCCGTCCAGCAATACTATGACGTCACGGGCGTTGTTTTCGATCAGGTTCCAGAACTCTGACTGCGACATTTTGAAATTTGGCGGCAAGAGCTGATTGTATACCTGTGGAAGAGTGAGCGAGATAACCATTGTAATAATTACTGCAAATGCTTTACGTCCCTTTCGACACTGTTTAGAATATTTTGGAGATGTGCTGATTCATCCCTACCTGACAGGGCAAATACACAAGCTGAGATAGATAGATAGATAGATAGATAGATAGATAGATAGATAGATAGATAGATAGATAAATAGATAGATAGATAGATAGATAGATAGGAAACCGTGATAAATAGTCGCTCTTTAATAAAGCCAAAACGTTTTGAATAGAGACCTAAAACAACAAAAAATGGTTGACTCACTTGACTCTAAATACAAGTAAGCATAAGAAGGCGGCTGACATGTACAACCAATCAATGAAATACTCGAGACAAACCACACGATTTTTTCCCTCTTCAAAATAACGCGCCGTACTTAATCATCAGTCGTCAACAGATCCTGGTAAAGTGAATCGTGATAAGTGGAGTTCAGATTTCTCTCAAAGTAGAGCGCAGGCGTGAGTACTTAAATGCCACCCGCAGGAGACTCATCACCCCCACCTCGTTTTTTAAATATTATTCTTGCGTGCTTGTCTTGTGAATTGGCATCTTGCTGACTCGAACGATCGCACCAGGGTCTTGACGGGTGCCAGAAAAGCTTTGAAGATCTGGGGCAAGTCACGAAAAAAAGTCTCAAAGTGACAACAAACGAGGGAACTGGAAACTCAAACGAGCTTCTAGCGCTGTGTGATTTTCTCACGTCCCCTCTGTTTTAGTTTTAGTAGAGTTTTTATCGCGCTCACAAGTGCATAAGATCATATGAGCGTCAAGGGGTGGATGTCAACAGAGACGTCCATACAGGGAATCAGGCTTACTCTGCTCACCTCTCTAGCTTCAACAGCACAAAGTCTGCTTCGACTATCAAGGCACCTCGGAAACATCGGGTCACAAGATGGTAACAAGCATACAAAAGAAGTAGAGGGAAAAATGACGATAGCCAGAATTTGGAAAGAAAAAGCAGCAATTCCCTGTTGCATATCAGGCAGTTATGAGCATGACATTGATGAATCAGCCCATTTACAATTCTACAGTCCATAAGAACATGTTAATGTCCCCCCTTTGGGAATGGCCTAAAGACACGTCAGTCAGTAGCACCTCACCAGGGAGGGGGGGGGGCTCACTTGTTCTCTAGTTTTAATAAGATTTTACGGCACTTGCGACACAAATAGGTAATAAAATATGTGCCAAAAGCTAGAGATGATACGAGAGAGTAGCATCCGAAGAAAAAAGGAGAAGGGGAAAAGACGATAACCGTTTGATAGGACAGGAGCAAACCACACCAGAGCACCTATCAATTTAGTCTGGCTGATGGCTTGTTTAACTATTTAAGGGCGCAGAGGGCACAAGTGTCTGGCGGCAGACCAAAAGCCTTGTCGAGCTACATTCGAACGATCACACATAAACCAGAAACACAAATTTGTACATTTGAATTTATGCATTTGCTTTCTGGGGGGTTTTTTGGTGTGTTTTTTTAATGAATAACGAAGTTGTGCTTCTTTTTTTTTTAACCTTCCGAAACAGCAGGTCTGCAAGCTACGTTGTCAAAAGACGCGAATGTGTGTTGAAAGAGTTAAACATAATATAAGCTAATCCTTTGGACGAAGCCTGTTGAGCAACACCCCCCCACCCCCCCCCTCCCGGTCCCACATTCCTCATAGAGCCCAGATTATGCTGATGGTAATTTTTTTTAAAATATAGAAAATATCTCCTCCATTGGGCTTGAGCGGCTTCAAAATCGAATACCCACGCAAGTCTCCGATTTTTTTTTTGATTTTTTTGGGGGGGTAAGTGTTTTTCTTTTGTTGTTGTTGTTTTGTTTTGTTTTGTTTTGGTTTTTTTAGTAAGCGTTTTACGACGCTCCCAATTGCATAACGCCATATGAGCGCGCGGGACACATTAAACATTTTCAGTTGTTAGAAAATTTTGAATTTGACCGGGTGGCGGCCGATGTCTACTCTTATCGATTTGACCACCAAGGCATTTTTAACGTGCGCAACTTGCACACGGGACCTACGAGATTTTTCACCCTTCTCCGAGAAGGCTAGGTGTAGATCTTACCTATCGTTTTTAAGACAAAGGGTGTGGCTGAAAGACCGCAGTAAAAAGGAGCCAAGGAGTAGCAGTAGAAAGGCTGCAGAAAGAGTCAGGAGCCCAGAGGTGGGGCAAAGGAGGTGAGGGGGTGGGGGCAGAAATAAGAGACGAAAAAAGACGACAGAACATTGTTAGAGAGCAGGAAAGGATGTGAAGGGAGACAATTTTAGAGAAGAAAATTTTCCGTCGCTCTCCGGATTCGAGCCTGGGACCATTGAAATTAGAGGCAAACACCATATCCTCTGGGCCACGAGAGCCCCTGGTCTCTGTTTTGAGAAAGTAAACTGATACTTATAGATCAGTTGGTGGTGTATGCAATCGACACAGTGGGGATTTTAGAGCCCGTTTAAGAAAGTTGTCATAATATAATTATGTGTTTGTGTGTTTGGGGTTTTTTCCGGGGGGGGGGGGGGGGGGATTTGCTCCAAAAAAATTAAATGAAGAATCACAATAGCTTGAGACAACTTCTTAGTTTAGTAAGAGTTTTACGACGCTCGCAACTGCATAAGGTCTTTTAAGTGCACAAAGACATCCTCAATAAAAATTAGTCTAATCCTGAAAAATATTATTTTCATCTCAATGACAACTCAACTGAAAATTCTAAAAGGTTATGTATGGTCAAACCTTTTAAACGGCTGTGAATGTTGGGCAATTAATTACCAAAGATAGGACAATAAAATAGAACAACAGAAATGTGATGTTTTGGGAAGCTACTTCCGGGGTGCCTTGATAATCCAAGCAGACTTAGTGCTGTTGAGGCGAGAGAGGTAAGCAGAGTAAACCTGATTCCCCGTTTGGACTTCTCTATTGACATCCACCCCTAGGCGCTCATATGACCCTAGGCAGTTGTAAAACCTTACTAAAACAAAATAGCTTTCGAGAATTTCATGGAGAAAAGGAAATTAAACGAGGAAGTACTGAAAGGAGACCATGTGAGCCTCTCACTAGATTATCAACAAGTGTACGACAAATGCAATTACTGGCACACTTAAATCTACATATAGGCGTTGAACATCTTGCTCTCCTTAGAAAAAACAGAAGACAAACGAGACAGGAGTAGATTCAGAAAAACTGAACGGTTGTGCGATGGAGAAATACGACCAAGATAATAGTAATACATTATTTTTTCCCTTCTGCTTGTCCGAGGGGAGAAATGAATGGAGAATTATGATCGCTAATGTCTTTATCCAGATCTGGCACTTGATGATTAGGATGTGGGTATATTATATGTACCTGCATGTGTGTTTGTTGGGAACAAGCGAGAAAGGGAGAGTGAGTGAGAGAGAGAGAGAGAGAGAGAGAGAGAGAGAGAGAGAGAGAGAGAGAGAGAGAGAGAGAGAGAGAGAGAGAGGGGGGAGAGAGAGAGAGGGGGGGAGAGGTTGTTTCTCCATGTACCTCTTTTAATGTCTTAATTATGATGCTAGGTTGTAAATTACATACAGCTTGTTGTTTCGCGGGAAGTACGGCTGAACGAAAGTTATTTGTTATTACCGTTTTCAATATTTTCATTATATTATTACTATTATTATTATATATTATTTTATTTTTTTTTAATTTTTTTTTTATATTATTATTATTATTTTTATTATTATTATTATTATTATTATTAATGTTGTTGTTGTTTTTATATTTATTATTATCATTATTATTATTATTATTATTATTATTATTATTATTATTACTGTTGCTGTTCTCTCTCTCTCTCTCTCTCTCTCTCTCTCTCTCTCTCTCTCTCTCTCTCTCTCTCTCTCACACACACACACACACACATACATATTTATGTAGCCCCAATCGACACAATTTTGATCATTTGGGAGGTCAAACCGTGGCTGAGAGTGATACAATGTCCATATAACTGAGATACTCGATAAGAATTCTCCCTACAGGTGAATTGAACTTAGATATTCTGCAAGCGACGGCTCTCGCTCTAAAGATGTCGTAACAGTCACCGTTCAATTTTAGAGATATCGCTACAAATGTGAAATAAACAGGATTCTTCCGTGTTTCTCAAGTGGAAGTCATTTTAGAACAATATGTTTTGTTTTGTTTTGTCTATTCTTTTTCTAAATATTTTCTATCTTTATATACCGACACGTGGGTTGTTGGCTGGTGCTCCTGTGTGGTTTGCTTCTTCTCTTCTATCAAACATCGATTGTCCTCATCTCCCCTCCATTTAATCTTCGGCACATAAGAGACCTTATTGTGTTTCAACGCAAGTGCGTAAAACTCTTACAAGAACCTTTAAAAATACAAGACACGCCACTTTTTTAAACAAACGTGAAATAACTTACATGTCGCCACTTGCACTTTTCAACTTGCATATATATATATATATATATATTTATATTTATATATATATACATGTGTGTGTGTGTACGTGTGTGTGTATGTGCGTGTGGTGTGTGTGTGTGTGTGTGTGTGTGTGTGTGTGTGTGTGTGTGTGTGTGTGTGTGTGTGTGTGTGTACGTGTGTGTGTGTATGTGTGTGTGTGTGTGTGTGTGTGTGTGTGTACGTGTATGTATGTGTGTGTGTGTGTGTGTGTGTGTGTGTGTGTGTGTGTACGTGTGTGTGTGTGTACGTGTGTGTGTGTATGTGTGTGTGTGTGTGTGTGTGTGTGTGTGTGTGTGTGTGTGTGTGTGTGTGTGTGTGTGTGTGTCAGGCACGGTCGTGCAGTGCCGCCCAATTTTTGTTTCATGTACTATTACGTAAAGCATCCACAAACATAAAATGAAAGAAGCCAGAAACAAACATAAGCCAAATATTAAATCAAAACAAGATACTCACTTGCGCTGTAACTGTCATTTATGCATGTATAGCGCTGTAAAATATCTGCTATGCCATGCAAAAGTCCACTCGCTTTAACTAAATATAATAGGGTATTCAGCAGTGGTAACCTGACCTATAAATCGCACTTTGGGATAACCCAAGCTATCACGACACTTGTAGCGAGTTTGGCGGTACATTAATATTAATAAGACGGCACATCTCAAATTTTAATGTGCTCCTGCCGAATAGTGCCGAAACATAGCCCAGAGTAGACAGTCTAAAAATAACGCAATAGACCCTACGCTATTCTTTGCCAATATTATGTGAGCCCCGGTGCAATCCAGCAGAGTGCCCAAGTGAATTGTGATTGGTTCATTGTCTTGCCACTATTTTGAGTGACTCTGTGACCGTGAACCTGAGGGAAGTGAACATGGCATACTTAAGTCACCGTCCTATGAGTTGAGCCCTTGAATAGTTTTGTAGAGGAGTGGTGAAAGTTATTACTTGAGTCTTCAGTTCAAATGCAGGATGAACGAAATTGATGTTTAGCTAACAAACAAATTTGGTTCTAGAATTAAAGAAGCGATAAGTACAACGAATGAAAATAAAAACATGAGGTCATCCCTCTATCTCATTTACATGTACTATGCCCTTGATTATTTTTAGCCTGCAATAGCTTAATTAATTGTGTACGCCCACTTTTTAGCCCCAATGAGCCGCCCTTGGTGTGTATGTGTGTGTGTGTGTGTGTGTGTGTGTGTGTGTGTGTGTGTGTGTGTGTGTGTATGTATGTGTGTGTGCAAACCGTGCGCACCACGGATGCCCAAATGAAGGGCAAAACGCATGTTGTTCTATAACTGAGTACACGCGGAACGAGCCCCACCTCCCCCCCCTCTTTTTTTTCCTTCCCAATTGGTCAAATGATGGGCTCCATGGTGAACCGGAACTATCTCAGAGTGCATTATCTAGTCTAGCATAATACTATGGTTTTTACTGTCAACAAAGCTTTAACTGAAAATACAGCCCAATGAAAATTCGCAGTCACTTGGTTATCAGTCACTCATTATTCCAAAATAGGCTCGCTGTGATGTCACCACTTCTCTTCTGTTCTGGGGTCCTTATCCTGGATTCATTTTACTCCATCTTCCCACTTTTCGAGTTCTTCTTAAGTGGGTCAACAGGGGCTCTGAATCAGTGGTTCGACTAGGGTTCGTGACAAACTCCATCTTTGACATTAACAAGGAAAATACTCAGCGGTCAAAGAGTTAATTGTGTTACGCATCAGGCGCAGGTCAATTTTGGGGCATAAAGAGTTATTGCTATCATTTTAAGGCGTGTTTATTTGACTTGCTTTTTGATGAAAAAATACTCATCTGTTTTGAATAGAATTCGAGTTATCTGCAATTGAGGAGGTGGATGTCACCTGGTGTCAAACTTAAAATTAGCGAGAAGACAGGTGCCAAAGTTAAGCGACTTTCAACGCTTGAGTATCCTTGAAAACTGCATATTTAGATTTGTCTGTGTCATTGACCGACGGGTTTTTTAAAAGTACAGCCAAAACATAAATGTGTTCTAAAATGGGCATGGAAATTTGTGAGCCAAAAAAAAAAAAGAAAAGAAAAGAAAATGTCGGGCTGTTTTTCATTTTTTTGATGACGCCCAATTTCACCACGAGGCCTCAAAATATCAAAAATCAAACAAGCAAAAGAACCTCCTCATCCAGGCTTTGTTTGAAGGCGTGAGCATCCAGATGAAGAAGAAACTTGTACTTGTTGGTGAAGTAATCACTCTGAGTAGCCCATAAGTAGGTCATCATGGCTGCCAGGCTTGTATTTCCGGATCCAGCAAAACCTTCTAGGACAACCCTGGGTCCTCTGCTTGCTGACGAGCGTGGTGGGAGCAGGTCGGTCAGGGATATTTTGGGGCTGGGGACAATGGCAGTGGGGAGTGGAAAGTGAGACGGTGAATGAAGGATTACAAGAGCGGTTGTATTTGTTATAATACAGTTTGTATAGCGCTTAGAGCTTGCTGTTGAGTGGGGATTTTTGCTATACATATGCCATTTTTATCATCATTATCATCATTATATTATCAGTTGTATTACTATTATATTATATTAATATGATGATGAAGATGATGATGATGATGACTAGCATCAATTTCTTTATAATCAGCCCCTAGGCCTGGCACCCACTTGGTCACTTCCGTCTAGCCTGTAACCACATGTTATCCTAAGACCCTCTTCGTTAGGCCCATTTCCCTGCTAGTGTATAGCGCTCATTTTGTTTTTCTCTCAGTTGCTCCCGAGGAAGCCCACGAGGCGAAACGTTGAGCTTTTAAACAAATTTCAAACATTTTATATTGTTATGTTATTTTGTCAGAAATTCAAACAAGACTGTCCCTCCTACTCTGCTTATCAAACAATGATGATGATGATGATGATGATGATGATGATGATGATGATGATGATGATGATGATGATGATGATGATGATGATGATGATGCTTGTTATAATAATTATTATTATTATGTGTATGTATGTGCTCTGTTGTTGTTGTTGTTATTATTATTATTATTATTATTATTATTATTATTATTATTATTATTATTATTATTATTATTATTATATTATTATTATTATTGTTATTATATTTTTTTACAATTTTATTATTGTTATTATTATTATTATTAT